TGTTAAGAAAAACCCTAAACTATTTCAAATGCCATATTCTGTAAGTCTTTAAAAGGTTTGAAGAATGCCTATTCATCTCAAATACATCTCTGTTTATCTAGAAAACCTAACTAACTTAACTCTTAGTTTTGACTATCATAGGTAACTACAATCTGTATCTATAATCTGCACTAAATTATATATTAAATTTTAAATGAGCTATATAAACACAAACCTAAACAAGAGAAATATACTTGTTACAAAATTGACCTTAATCTTGTAGCAATAAAATCAATTCCACAACAAAGTATTCATTTCTATACCATAATCCCCTTTTTTATCTTTAAAAAAGAGATTGGTTGTGGTCATTAGCCATTTATAACCCACCCCAATTAAATGAAAACAAACATTTATAAATAATAGTTGGGAATTTTGACATCATTTCCAAAATTCTCCCTGCTGATAAGGGGTGCTGTCTTGGGGATCCTAAGAAATCACAGAAATGCTGTCTGTAGTGGTCTGCAGGGCTTCCTTGTCCCAGTTGTTTTGAATGTTTGATCACCTGGGACACTGCTTCAGGGGGCCTTGCTTGATCAAATCATGTTAATCAGCTTTTCATTTTCTGTAGAAACAAAAATAGAAATTCTTTTCCCCAGTAATCTGTCCTTAGACTTAAATTTTGAAGTCAAAGCATTTTTAAAATATATAAATTGGATTAATCCAGCAGCATTTCTTTTAACAGTTATATTTCCTCAGCAGTCAGACAATACAAAGACAACATATTAGCATAAAGTATCCAGATTCTCTGTGTGCTTTCCATCTTCACATGGCTTTTGTATTACTCTATTTCTTCTACATCTATTTTTTATTTTTTTGAGACAGGATTTCTCTGTGTAATTTTTGCCTATCCTGGATTTGACTCCGTATACCAGGGTCACTTAGAAATCACAGATATCTGCTGGCCTCTGTCTCCCAAGTGCTGGAATTAAAGGCCTATGCAACCACACTCAGCTAGTCTCTTTCTTTCTATTTTTTTAAACCACTTTATCCTGTTTCTTTCCTAAGCCTATGTATGTTTTAAACATTTTTTTTTTATCTGAATCTGTCTTTACTGTAAATCTTTATCTTTTTCTGGCCACAAGTCTTTTATCTGGTAAACAACATTTCTAAAATGAAAGCCACAGCTGTTTCAACTGTGATCTACCCAATCTGGTGGGGCTACATTTACCACCAGCACCGAGAGCTTTGTTCACTGCCTTGGTCTATGCTGCCATCAAGCATTATGCTGCTGGCTTCGAGATGTGGTTACTGCCATTGCCAGCTCTCATATACAGCATTAAGTTGTTAGCAGGGCTTGCTGCTTATACTGGCTCAGGAGACCTCCCTTAAAGAAGCAGGAGTCTCTGCTTGTCTCTAGCAAAACAGAATCCAACTGAGAAATGCTGCTAACTAGCAACCTTGCTTGTCTCTGTTCTTTTGTTTCTACAATCCCTTTTTAAGCTTTTGTCAAGTTTATGTGGAAGTTCTTAGTACCCACATTGCAGGTGCCTTTTGTTATGAGCACTTTTCCCTCCAGCCTGGTCCCAGAGCCATGTCAGCCCCAAATGACACGCAGAGACACTGTTAGATATAACGCTGTTAGCCTGTTACTAGCATTTCTTATTGGCTAGCTCTGTCTTAATTATTAACCCATTTTTATTAATATAAATGTTTCCACGTGGTCTTATCTTCCCAGAGAGAGGGTCTGGACCTTCTCAAGTCCCTACATCTTGAATCTCTACTACATCTCCCAGGATTCTCCTTGTCTCCTAGTCCCACCTATCTCGCCTTCCTATTTGCCAACAGTGCTTTATTCATTAACCGATAAGAGAAACATATTTAGAGAATGACATCTCCCATGAAGATCAAGTATCTCATATAACATTACAAATCAGGCTTTATTCCCAGGAATGTGAGCCCCTTGTTATTCTCACGAGTGTGATACTTCAATTGCTCTAGAAGCTATTATTTTGGATGGGAACATCAAATGTATCCCAGTGAGCCCAGAAGTCCAGACATACACATCCCTGATCCATTGGTTTTCAGCAATCTTGTCTCACCTTGATCATCATGATGATTTTTCCTGTCTGCATTAAGAAACTTTCCTAAGTGCTGGTCTGTTAGTTTAAGTGTCCAGAGCCAATGCTCACCGAGGACCAAGACTCCTAGCTCTACAGAAACTCCAGTGGGAGAAAGGAAAAGCACATACTTAGAATGTGTTATTGAAGGAAGAAGAATCATTTTAGATTTTATTTTTCAGGCTTGCTTGTCCATATAATAGTATCATTTTAGTACTTCTTGTACCTTTACCATATAAATCATATTGCTGTTAAAATACAATGATTTCTTTATTCACTCAAACCTGAACTACTGAAAAATCTAGCACCCAGCTTCTCTTGACTGTTATCATTCTCCATCTCTCTAAAGACTCCTTATTGATTTTGTTTAGGTGAAGGGTACATACTCTACATTGAAGAAATGAAACTGATAGATTATTCAGCTTTTCAAAATAAGTGCTTTATTCACTTTCCCTATTTTGTTTTGCTAAAGCAATTTTGAGCATTTCCATGTCATTTTGTTTGTGGTCAACATCACTTTCAAATTTAAGTCGATATCTAGAAACATATTAAAGTCTACTACAAATGGATTTTCCAGAATATTGAAAATTGAGCCATCACACAATGACTTCAGGAATGGATTCTCAATCATCTGGTCTTAAACACATACTTCAATTCTATTTATTCCAACATCTCAACACAAGGGTAATTCTTTGAAATGTTTTTCAGGTACTTTGTAGATATAGCTTGCACACCATATTCCCTGTAAGTGCAGACTTATCTAAGTCTATATTCTTTCTCCTCTAGAGCTTCTTTCTTCTGTTTTGTTTGCTTTATTTTTGTTTATTTATTTTTTCAAGACACATTTTTTTTTCTGGGTAGCCCTGGCTGTGCTGGAACCCATGCTAATCAACAGGCTGGCCTTGATTGCAGAGGTTTGCCTTCCTCTGCCTCCTGAGTGTTGAGATTGAAGTTTCTTTCTTCTGTTTTAAAAACTTGTTTAAAGTAATAAGTGATAATTACATATGTGTGGTATATTGAGATATTTGACTATATACATGCATACATATAATATAATTAAAATATGTAAATTAAATTTTCTATTTCTGTCACATTTAGGCCATTTGAGCTCATGTTTTAGTTTTTCATGAACATGTGAACTATAATTACCTTACTATACTATAAAACACAACAAAGTATTTCTCTTACTTATTTTCATACCCATTATTCATCCTCTCTCCATCACTCCTGCTCCTTCATAATCTCTAGTAATTACTATTATATCTTTTCTACTTTAAAATAAGATTTTTCCAGTTTCACATGTGAAAGAGAAGAGCACAGAGTATCTATCTTTCTGTTTGGATTATTTTATATAACATAATATCCTCGCACTTTATCTAGTTTGCTACAAATAACAAGATCTCATTCTTTCCTATGGATAAATAATGTTCCACATTTTCTTTAACCATTTATCTGCCAATGGATACCTTGGTTGACATCATACCTTAAAGCTATTGTGAATAGTGATGCAATAAATATTTGTTTCATTTTCTTTTGAATATAGACCTAGAAATGTATGGCAAAACCATGTGGTGGATACATCTTTTAAATTTTTTAAGGACCTTTATATTGTTCATCATATCTGTTGAATTAATTTTCATTCTCATCAATAATGTATGTTTCATTTTACGTTTTAACAGCATTTATTATTTTTCCTTTTGTGATGTTAGCTATTGTGATTAGAGTATAATTATATCTCATAGTGTAGAATTGCATCCATTTATTTGATGGCTAATAATGTTTTTCTTTATTTGGTGAGCACTGACATTTTCATATTGCAAGAGTTTGTCTTCAGATAATTTTCATTGGATTATTATTATTGTCATTGAGTTTTTAGAGTTCCTGTGTATTTTTATACGAATTCTTTATCAGATAAATAGTTTGAACTCGTCTTTTCCATTCTGTAGTCTGTCTCTTCATACTCTTGATTTTATCTTTTGCAGTGCAAAGTTTGAGTTTTAAAGAGTGATATTTACCTTTCATCTCTCCTTTACCTACCTCATGAGAACTTTAGTAACCTGATACCACTACTTAAAGCTTTTCTCACCAGTAATGAGCTTCATCCTGGCTATGCCTTGATTTTGTATGATTCAATTCAAGGATCTGATCCTGAGGCTCTTCCCCGTCTGTTCACCTCCACCTTCCACATAATAAGACCTGAATTTTCAAGAATCTATTTTGTTTGGAAGGTTCATTTTGATGAGTCAAATGGAAAATTCCCTCTATAAAAACTAGGTACCTAATGCCATAATCATGTTTTAGAATTATTAAAATTGACACAGGTGGGGTGGGGTACGGGGTCTATATAACTGATTCTCTGCTCTCATGGATAAGAGCTGGTTCAAGAAGCATAAATTCCTAGATGCTATAGGACTCTCTACCTCGTAGGTCATTTGCACCAGAGGCAAGTGCACATCCTAAGGAACAAAGAAACACAATACTAGCATCTGTGTGGTGCTTACAGAAACAATATATGTCAAGAGAATGTATTAAAAGTATATGTTGTAAAAGTTGAAGTTTTTGTGAGTGTACAATGAATATCAAAGGAAAATAGTTCTATTAAAAATGTTACCCTCCTGCAACATTTCAACAGTATGGCTAGTTGTTTGTTTTTATATTTATTGTTCTATAACACTCTAGGTCAGAATGCATGAAGGAATATTTCTGTGATTAACCAAAAATTCATAAGCATTGGTTATTTCCTTGACCTACATACTAGATGAAAGAGTTGATGCATATAAAATAAACTCATCTCAATTCCTAACCTCCTATCTAAAATCAAATGTAGAAATAAAATTTGAGAAACACGATTGCATTGTCAAAAATTCCACAGTACTAAGAAAGAAATTGAAGGCATATCAGCAATAAGGAAACAGCATCTTTAATGTTTTATTTTCCACTTGTGAAAAATATATATAATATATCTTACATGTACAGAGAACTCCCACAGCTTGAGTCAGAGGATGCTAAAATAAAGGCACATACAGGGAACAAGTCTTTCCATACAGTTCTCATTTAAACCAGCATTCAAGGCACAGCAAGTAACAATGAAGGCAACAAAAGCACAGGCTGCCTGTGCACATGATTCTGAAGAGCAACATCACAGACAACCCTTAGGTCTTCCAAGAGTGGCAAAAATACTGTTTCTATTTCATAGACCTGTAGGGCCACCCAGAAACAAATTGAATCCTGAACAAAGACGCACCAGGGCAAGGCAAATTCACACTTAGTTTGACCTCTGCCTGGCTCTCTTATTCCCCTTCTCAAGAAGACCAGAGGCCTTTGCTGAATTAAAGGAACACGTATCACAGCTGGATGTGTCCCTGAGTGACTTTGCTCAGTGATAAAACAGCATTTTACAAGAGACAAATGTTTTAAAAAGCTTGTAAACACTGTGCTGATGGTCAGGGAAAACATATAAAGAACATTTTCTGCTCCTCTCTGACATGAAACAGGCAGTTATATATCTTTGGCTTGTCACATGTGCTTCTCTATCCTGACACTTACCAAAATGGTAATAAAGAAAAAATGAAGCACAATTCATTAGGGCCATGGGGTTCTGTCTGCCATATGCCAGCAGAGGTGCCTTCTAGGACTTGGCACAACCAGAGCAGCTCATAACCTTGGGTGATGTGAGGTGGGGCTTCACAATGTCCGGTTCTATGGACTCTATGAGGTCACACTCATTTGCAAGTATATGCTTGACCAGGCATCTTGAAGCTTCATCAATGTTTATATTTTCCTAAGGGGAAGGGAAAAAATAATCAACAGTTTTCTTTTAATGCAACATTGTAAAATAACAGTCTCATATAAGACAAAATCCAATATTTAAAAATGTGTGTGTGTGTCTGTGTGTGTGTGTGTGTGTGTGTGTGTGTGTTTGGCTGTCTCCATGAACATGTGTATATAGGCATATAGAAGTCTGAGGTCAACCTTAAGTGTTGTGTCTGAGGTACCTCCACCTTTCTTTGACACATAGTTTCTCACTGGCCTGGAACTAGTCAAATAGGTTAGGTTGGCTGGCCAGTGGGGCTCAAAGAGCTGCCTGTCTCTACTTCCCCAGCACTGGGATTAAAGTTATCTTTGCAGCAGTTTGTCTGGAATTTGTTTTCTGGGTTCTGGGGATCAGACATTAATCCTTGTGCTTGCAAAACAAGTGTTTTACACACTAGAGCATTCTCCCCAGCCAGGCCAGTGTTGTTGGTGATTCATGAAAGAAGACTTTTTTCTTATTTTCCCTCTCTCATTGCCATCTTCCTTCTTTACTTCCTCCCTCCCTTCCTTCTTCCCTTCCTTTCTCCATTTCTTTCACTTTTTTATATCTTGGTTCATTACAAAAGTTAAGGTATAGATTTCATTTTGTTCAATATCAACAATATTGTTTGCTGGATTCATTTAATGTTACATATTTTAGATTTCAATTTTCTTATTTTTCACCTGTTATATGAACAAGTTTCAGTCTAGCCTAGGTTTATAATTGCACCAATGCATACTGCTTTTAAAATCTCAATAGGAAATAGAGTCAGTAAGACACCTTTTGCATCAGTTATTAGCAGTGTAACCAATATTTCTATTTTTTTTTCCTTGCAGCCACCATGTTTCTGGCTTCCTTGAACTCAGATACGAACATGTGACAGCTGCTGGCCAATAAAATATGAGAATCACGAAAAGGTACATGTCTGACTTTTTGGCTAGAAGCAATAAAAGTCAGGATGTAATTGTCTCAAGTTCTTTTCTTATGAATTCATGGAAACCTTGAGGTGGGAATTCTTAGACTCTGTTCCAATCAGTTCATGATAAATGCAGCATACATGGGAATTATGCCTGTGCTATTGGAACTCATTAAGATTAGAAATCATATTTCTGCAGGGCATTGGTGGTGCACGCCTTTAATCCTGGCACCTGGGAGGCTGAGGTAGGTGAATCTCTGTGAGTTCAAGACCAGCGTAGTATATAGACACACCTTGTTATTGTTTTTTGCTGGAATACTCCTCACAGTAGTCTCTGAGCCTTTTCTGTGTCAACTACAAAAGGGTCTTTCTGACAACACAGGACTAATAAAAGCTTGTATCACTTGACTGGTCACTTGTACATACACTTTATATCTACATGCCAAATATTTTAGGCTCATATTCTTTAATTCCCTTTAGAATACTGAAGAATAATAGCTTTTGTTCTCATGGATTCTGTTGTTATTGGTGAGGTGGGAGGTGGGAGCCATCTCTTCCATAGTTCTAGCATAGGTTCCATTCCATGGAAACTAGAGTACAGCAATACCTGTGCCACCGCTTCCTGAGGTCACAGTCCATGCTTGGTACACCTGTCATACTTTCTTTTTCCACCATCATTCCCAGAGGTCATAACTGAGCTCTTTGCTCCAAGACAATAATCTGGGTTTAGGCAGCGAATGTCTGAGATTTTGGGACAGACTAAACTCAAAGCTATGTTTCTGAATCAATCCAGTTGTCACTAAGTGTAAACCTGGTTTTACTGGTTCTCTACTACATTACATTCATGATGGTGAGAATGGGTAACCTCACTTTGCCTTGGAGGAAAGACCTCAGAATAGGGGACATCTCTCACTAGGAAATCATATATGCTAGGGTAACTTCTCATTGACTATTGCTTGCATGTCAGAAAGAATGGTACTCTAATCTACCCCAAATACCAGACATGAGCTATTACCATATGTTGGTGGGTAAGAAACTTTCAGTTTAGAAAGGTTGCAGACATTCAGTATGACTGCATAGCAGGTAGATTGGAAGGTCAAACCACTCGCTGGCATTAAAGCAAATTGTGATTCTTTTCAAGTTTTTGTCCTGATTTTTAAATATTTATTCTTTGAAAAAATATGTATATACATGTATATGCACACATATATATGAACTTTAGTCATGTTCACCACCACTACCCTCTCTCAGCCCCCTCCGTCTTCCATATAAATGTTCCCTCTTCATAACACCCCCCTCACACTTTCATGTCTTTTGCTCTGAGTGACTCACTGAATGTAATTAGGGTTGTTTGTATGAACATGTGTGAAATGTTATTTAATGGAACATGTACTACTTTTTTGTGTCTACACTACTGAAGAAAATGACACTCCGGTGACTACTAATGGTCCCTTAGGGAGAGGTGGGCCCTCATGTGTTCTTCCCCGAATCATAACAAAATATTGTCCAAACTATTTTAAAGATCAAATACAGTAACAAAGGTTCTTTACCCAGCATTAGACATAACAGGTACTAAATAATTCTTTTGTTATACACTATAAAAACATGTTTATATAATAGAGCCTCTCCTTCGAGTATAATGTAACAGGCCTTTTAGTGATTTTTTTTAATTTCCATTTATATGTTAACATTGAAGTTAAATATGGTTTTCATTTATTAATGTAAAATTGACAAAAGATCTCTTAATGAATATGATTAAATGTTAATAATGGCAAATAAATGAAAATCTATTCATCATGATGAAGAAACTACTAAAATATCCATCTAATCAGTGGCAGCCTAGTAAGATGGTTTCTGTAAAAGATAAGATGAAGGAGAAGTTGCTTTTGGAGAGTAAAGTTAAGTTGGGTTAGGACTGGGGTGGGTACATGGGGCTTCCTACCAAGGTAACAAGCAGAGAAAAGGAATAACAGAATCTTCACAGAGGCCCTAAATAAAAATAGAGTGACAGTTCATAGTGAATGGGTCACACACATTATTTTATCTAGTATTATGTGCGTTCCTCTTAAGTCCTTGGCACAGAGATGAAAATGAGAAAGTCCCATTCCAGTCTGTGCTTACAAACTAGAAAAGTTTGTATGAAACACAGAGGAATAACGAATCTGGAAAGAGCATTTGTGGCTCATTTTATTTCAGATGTTTAATTGCTAGAATCTCTACAATCCCTTTATAAACAAGACAGTAGAGACACTGAACACAGCCTGAACTATCAGCAGCATACAATTCATAAATACCAGTGCTGGAGTGCTTGCTTCTAGTTATCATGGCAGCATACCTAATCCAGATCAGAGATGTAAGATGAAGCCAGGAAGCATTCAGGGCTTCCATTTATCATTATATTCACCACAAGCATGCTGTGAAAAGGAAGGAATATAATGGGTAGAAAAGGTATCTGATGTCACATGCTTATCCTAGTCCCTGCCCACACCCTTTCTGACTGTGTGAGCTCAGGAAAGTTCAAAGCCTCAGATGCTTCAATGACAGTGTAAGTAAGAAATGTGTTCCACAGACTCATGTACTTGAATACACATGTGGTCCCTAGTTGGTAGTGCTGTTTGGGAAAGTTATGGAACCCTTAGGAAATGGAACTTTGCTGAATGAAGGAGGTAGTTAGAGACAGTCTTTAAGGTCTTATAACCAGTAGGCCCCTTACCTACTGTTTCTCCCTGCTTCCTGTGGATGCATGAAACATGATCTTTCTCCTTCCTTATTACCAGGCCAGCCTCATGTTTTCCTTTTGATGAGTTTCTAGGTCCAGATGACTTTCTACAATCTTTGGAACTGTCAGCTAAAATAAACCATCCTCTACTCTAAGTTGCTTTAAGCAATGATAAGTTATTACAACACAAGAAAAGTAACAAATCCCTCTTGAAAAGAGAAAATTTTTAAAAAATTCTGCCACACAGGTGATTATAAGTTAATCATATTATTACTTAGAACAAGTGGAATACTTGGAGCAGTGAATGGTATAGCAGCATCTATATTCTGTTCTTGTGAGATTTCACTCAGTATCTGAAGAACAGTAATATGTGAATTTGATCCCTTCTCAGTCTGGCAGCTGAGGACCCTGAGAATGAAAGAGAGTAAGTAGATAGCCCCAAGCCACAGGCATGAATGCAGGGAAAATAGAAATAGCGATAGAGACAACATGCTTACTGCCTAAAAGCAAGGCAGGTGTGTATGTAGTGTCTAAAGCCAACTAAACTAATTTCAACTCTTCTAAAGACTTCCCCAATAAATACAGGAATGAAATGGACAGGGTGCTTAGTGGCAGAAAAAAAAAGGAAGGAGTATTTCATTGGGACCTCAGGTAAGCCAGATTTTAACTGCTGCTACCCTTTCAAATATGTTTAGTATCCTCTTTATTACTTTCATTGTGCACCACTTGACACAAAGGTGAGAAAACAAATATCAATATAGAAACTTTTAAAAGAATTATTGATTTAGTGGTGCGTGCATGCCAATTTGAGAAAGTCAGTTCTCTCCTTCCACAGGGGATTGAACTCATCATCAGGGTTGAAGGTAAGTATTTTTACATTCTGAGTCCACTTCAGTCTAATATAGAACAAACACCTCTTCCTTTTCGTCTCCACAAGGTAGATGATCAAACCTTGCCTGTCAAAACTTCAGTTAGGTTTCAGGCATCCCTAAGCTACTTGGCATCCAGGTACTCACAGTCAGGCTCAGACTGCAGGTGAAGGTAGAGTAGTTGTCCTGGCTCAACTGTAAATGCTACCTGGGGATTTTTGTTTGCATATGTGACTCAGAGCAATAACAGTCTCCCAGAAGCCTCTTCTACCTGAAAGGGAATTTACACATTCTGCAATTCCCAAGCTACACAGAGGCTGTCAAATCTGGCTGATTCATTCACGCATGCATAATGTATGAGGAGATGGTCTATTGTGCTAGCAGCTTCAGGTCACTTGGCTAAGGCTGAGGCCACTGCCATGGGTTCCCTTCACTGTATCAATAAAGGCTTTTAAATTGCCAACAAAGCATTTCACTAAAACAA